AAATGGGGGGGGGGGGGGGGGGGGGGAAATTTAAACCCCCCCCCCGCCTCTGCCCCCGTCCCCGCCCCGCGTAATAATATAATTAAAAAATTATTTATATATATATATATATAAACTAAAATTAGAAATATTTATATGTAAAAATTTATATTATTTTACTTTTCTTTTATTTTTTTTTAAATTGTTCATATTTATTTAAAAGAAAAAAAATAAGAGCGGAGGCGGAAGCGGAGGTGGGATAGATATTAACATCCCGCCCCCACCCCCGATTTTCTCAATCAATTTCAATAAAATATTGTGTAACAAGTTCCTCTACATTCCAATTATTAGAAGGAGCTATAGTACTTACATGACTAACATTAATTTCATCATTATCTCTAAGCATGCAACTTTTATTCTTGAAGAATCCTACTGCAAGGATTTTATGCATCCCGTAAATTCATACACAAACATATTTGTTGAAATGAAATTCACAAAGAATGAAATCTAGCATAATTGAATATACAAAATAAGAATTCTGATAAAATTGTAACTATTATATCAGCAGATGTGGCAGACACTTCATGTGAATTAAACTTAAATTGCTTGAATTCAAATTCTGCTTTTATCTATTACAGATAATTTTACAGAGGCACTTATCTTCTTGTCACATTTTGTTGGGGGATGTTTTTCCTAATTCTTGTTTAAAATCTTATAAAAAAACACAAGCTATTATTGTTTCAAAAAGTAAATATGATTTTTAGTTAAACCTTCTGCCCTTGATCTGCATCATGTGTGTAAAACCAAATTCTATGATTTCTTTTTGATGGTCATCTTATGTTAATATATTAAGCATTTTCTTTTCTCCATTGTTTACATTGTTCACAAAAGATTGAGAATTTGTTGTAGCAACATCTATGGTTATGATCTCTTTTAAATCAGACACTTAATCAATATCAACAACTTATATGTGCAAAGATTATCAAGTGACTCATAACATCTATGACAACTACAAGAGCAAATTGAGTCAGCCAATAACACTTCAATATGATGTGATATTTTTATTAATAATTATTGAGATGTATGTTGTGGCGTAAAAAATGTTAATGTTAATTTTTTTTATAAATAAATTTACTTATGGATGGATTCACATTTTGAATAGTAGGGCACTTGTCCTCACTACTATTTGACGCATATATAATTTTTTATCTAAAAAATAATATATTTTAAAAAATAAAAATTATAGTCTAATAAAAAAAATATATGTTTAAATTATCATATGTGTAAAATATAGATTTGGAGAAAATATTTATTTATTTGATATATGTTAAACTTCTAAAGGAAATTAATTTTCTAATATGATAAAGAATACTCCTTAATAACGAATCAATTTTTTAAAAACTTTGATTATAATATATATATATTATGAGGAGTAT